CATCCTTTGAATTGTGGATTAGAGAGGGCAGGTTGGTTCAGATACTGAACTACATTTTAAATTACATAATTATCTAGTAATATCACTGTATATATTAGAACATCTATTTTCAATGAAAAACCCTAATGTTCTTGAAATTCTGTTTTAAAAACTGTAAGAACTGATTATTTTAGTATTTTGAAATATTTTGAAAGCTTACACAAGCTTTCAGGCTTGTTAATGTCATTCCAAGTAAATTGCATATTCTTTAACATAGGGAAATAAATGAATACGCCATGTAATTATTACTAAGATCTAAAACTCTTGAAGATAAGGCAGTCAAAAGCATAGCTACTTATGTGACTGTATTTATCGCTGGATTGTGGACATTTTATTGTTAGTAAAATATTTATCTATCTTGTGAAACATATGTATTTCATTATATAACACACTTTTCTAAAGGAAATTTTTTGAAGGCAAATAGTTAATAAATTATCCAGTCTTGATTTTTCTTGTTTAGATTGCCATAAAGCTTACCTTGGGTTTTGTTACTGTATTAACTATTCACATATTTAATGTTTTATTTTATTTTTCCTGTGTGTCAATTAAAATGTTGTGGCTTACTGCAATGGGGTAGATATTATACTGATAAGACACTGCCAAATATTTTCACAAAAAGTTTCATGCAAAACTCTAGCATGTAAAATTCTTTTTACATTGTAGCCTATCACAGTTACATTTAAAAATGCACTTTAGTCCAAGTCCTTCACAACTAGTCTTACATTTGAAATTAGTAGGTTATGTCATTGACTGAGGTACTGTTTTTCTGTGAAACTGAAATAGGTCAGACTTTTCTTGAGTAAAATCTTAAAAGATCTCAGGATTATGGGATTAGGTTTGGGTTTGGTTTTTATTTGTTTGTTTGTTTGTTTGGGAGTGCAGTGTTCTAAAATAAAGAAAAAAGCAGACTCAAGACAATGAAGTTGAGCTCCATTTCTGCAGGTGCAGTGAGTATGGACATACGAGGCCATTTCCCACCCCATTTATATTACAGAATCACTGAATGGATAAAGTTGGAAGGGCCCACAGTGGATCATCTGGTCTGACCTCCCTGCTCAGGGTCATCCCTGACTACAATGCACAGGGCTGTGTCCAGGCAGTTCTGGAATATTTTCAGTGTGGGAGACTCTACAACTTCTCTGAGTGATCTGTTCCAGTGCAGAGTGAAGAAGTTCTTCCTCACATTTAGGGGGAAATTCCTGTGCATCAATTTCTGCTTGTTGCCTAATAAGTATAATAAGACTGCCACAGGCAAAAAATAAAAGAGTTTTATAATAAAATTATTATATGTGCATTTAAATTTCAATAATTTTTAGGATGAGATGAGATGAGATGAGATGAGATGAGATGAGATGAGATGAGATGAGATGAGATGAGATGAGATGAGATGAGATGAGATGGAAGAATATTTGGGGCTATGCCTTATTTTTCAGCTGTGTCAATTCAGAGGAACTGTAGAGAAAATGCTAGGAATTGAATGGCAGATCTGACAACTCTTTTGGGGAAGCTCCCTGAAGAGGTGAAGGAAAAGGAAGAGGAAAACTCTTAGATGTTCAAATCAAAGGGATTTTTCTGCCAGAAAAAAAAAGTCAATGTGAGCATACAGATTATTTTCATGAATTAAAATGCAAGCAGACCTGATTTGATCATGCGATCATTGAATTCAAACCCTTTTGACCCTTACATTAAATGAACCACAAGGAAAAAGCAGTACCTTTTCTCTAATTACAGTTCCAGCACAAGTTGATTGCTATTTTTTGTAGGACAGTGTCAGTTATAACTTGCCACGTACAAAAAATATTCTCCAAAAAAAAGAATGCAAGCCTGTATCAGGGAACTGTAAAGATCACAACTTGGCTGTCAGCCTAGACCTAATCTATAGATATATCCAATTCTTCTCATGGGAAGGTATTTTATGTCATGTCAAATTTTGTCTGGCCTTGTACAAGGATAAATGTATAACCCAGGAAGAACTGTACTTCAAATTTAATTTCTTTCATGGAGCTAGGTAAAAGACTACTTCACCAATAAACAGCACTTCCCAGCTGTCTTTGACCATGTAAGACAACCTCATGCACCAGATTCTTGCTGGACTTTCAGTCAGAGCAGTGTCTCTCCATGTCCCTGAAGACTGCAGTGAGCATGAACCATGAATGTTTATTTTAACAATGAATACTCTAAAAATCTTGGCTTGAGGAAATAGAGGAGTGAAGAACAAAAGGGTCATCAGAACAATAAGGTGATGAAGACATGATAAAATAGATAAAAACATGTAAATAGGAACCAGGGAAAATGTCATATTAAACTTCTTCAGCAAAGTCAATACAGGATGATCTGTTCATCACAGGAATGCAGCTATAAAGCCTTTGTAGAGCGCTCACCAGCTGAAATTTAAGGGGCATCTCATCACTGGTTTAGCTCCACCACATGGAATTTGCTAGCATTGTGTAGGACATCTGTTCAATGAATACATTTTCTCCTTTCCTCCATCTAAATTGCCTGTGCCCAAAGCCAAAGTTACTTCATTGTGGACTGTGACTGAGGGGTCTTTGAGAAACATCTTCTGCAGGTTGGACTTGGCACAGCAGGAACACAAAACCTTACAGGTCTCAGAACTTTTGCAGCTCTTTCTTCTAAAAAGCTGTATTACCTTAGTTCTGATATTTTCCCTTTCTTACCTATTCAAATGCCTCAGAACAGTGCCTTTTCCTCCATTGGCAGAGACTGAAACTGCGAGGACTAGGAAAAGTGGGACCTTTACGACTAGGATACTAAGCAAGACCAAGGACATCTATTTCTCACTATTGGATGATGCAGAAGACTGTAGGGATGAAACAATATCCTTTAATGCAGGTGATAAAAGGCATGAAGGAAACTGCACAAGAATATGAGGGAAAAACATCTGGTTTTTCTGGGCAGCTGAGTAATCAGTCTCCTGTTTAAACAAGTTTTTCCTCATAACACCACAGTTTTCCATTATAAAACATATTCTTCAGTGACTCAGTTTTCCCAGATGTCACATCAAGAATTTCAGTTTGCATGAGAAGCATGGCTGGTAAATACACCTGTAAAAAAAAAGCATCCCTGGAGCACTAAATAGGTTATCAGGTCACTGTTATGTTTAATTCTCATTTGTCCTTTCCCTTCTCAAAATTTCACTTAGAAGTTTCTATTAACTGACCAGATTTTTTTTTTTCAGTATAATGACTTAATTTATTTAACATTTATAGTTCTAAGGCTTTTAGTGGAATAACTTTAAAATGTGCTTTCAGGGTCACTTTTTCTCTATTAAGCTTTTAAAATAGATTATGTCCAGGGTCTTTGCTTTCTGAGCACAAAAGCAGATTTTGCCTCTGAAGCCAAAAACAATTTAAAACATATGAAATGCTGTAGAATTAATCTTTCCAGAACCAAAAGAAAGACTGTATTTATAGCAGCTGATTTATTTGTTTGATATACAGTGTGTGCTCTGGTTTATAATTTTTAAGGTGTGTGAAAAGGTCACATTATATATTACAAAAATAGCAAGGCAATGATTTACAAGACTTCACATTGTGCCTATTGACCCTCTCAATAAGAGAGGTTGGTGATTGTAACAGCACTGAAAAATTAAACCCATGGGAGTCAATTTAATGTGGTATAAACTCTTTAACAACCAGCAAAATAGCCATATCAGCTGGTTTCATCCTTAGATTATGTTTCAGTTGTAAAGTGCAATTTTTAATAAAAAGTGCACAAGCTTTCTTTATTCTACAAAGCTCCTGTTTCCTCCTCCATGGAAACAGCTGCTCCCTACTTTTTTTGTGGCAAAAAAGGAAGTATTGTGTTATCACTAGTCCCCTCAGTGGGAGAAGAAAGAACACAGAGAAAGAAACTGCTTAACAGCAGTGCAAATCATTTTGTCTAGTTTCCTTCTTAAAATTAATCTCCGAGCTCTGAAGAAAAGATGTACATCTGTTTGTCCTTTGTTGTGGACAAATACATTAGTCTGTCCACAAGGAAAACAATATTAGTCCGTGTACAGCTTGAAATAATCAATATCTAGACTTAAAAATTGGGTAATGCTTCATGTTAACACACTCACTGTGAAAATGAGCAGTTAGGGGCAAGAAATCTCTTTTAATTATCAGAGCTGTGTTTGTGAACATTCCAGAAATAATGGTATCTAAACACATCTAAGGCATTGTCAGGAAAAGGAAAGACAAAAAACCATCGAAATTGTGATGTTCTTCATGACTGACCCCATTTTTTGCAGAATTATCTAGCTGCCTTATAATTTGCACAAATGAAAGCTGGAAAGAAAGGGTCTTTTCCTATCTCTGGTTTATCATCTCTAGGATATTCAGCTCATCCTCTTTTTGCAAAGAATAAAACAAAAATCATCTTAGAGGTACACAGAGATGGTCAAAGCTATGTGTTAGTAGCCACTGTTTTCTATAATAAAATGAAAGCTATCAGCAAAATAACGTAGCTAACATATCAGGCATTCTGATTCTGGCTTATACATTAGGAGGGGGCTCCCAGAGTGAAAGTTAATGGCAGACACACAATACTGGAGATAGAGCTAGCACCTTTGGGCTGTAGGAAGAGTGTAGTTTTAGTCCTTTAAGAAAAGAAAGCCTTTTTCATGGCTGCTATTCTGATTTTGTGAAATGCGGAAGCTCACTGAAGGTTTGTGCATTATACTAGAATTTATTTTACTGACTAGGGTGGCAAATGGCAAGACAGTTGAGTGCAAGAAGACTGGTGTTTGTGCAGAAGCATATGACAGACATGAATAAGGCAATCTGCATAATGCATGCTGGTGGGAGTTTTTTTCAATTTAACTCATCTGTGTGGGAAGTTCATTATGGTATTTCCTTTAAAACTTATTTTTCTTACAGAGTAGCAGAATAAAACAGTTGATGGTGTAGCAGCAGACATCTTTTTTCCATCTTCTTGGGAAAGATCGATAAGCATTCTGCCTCTAATTCTCATTCCAGTTCCATATTACATATGAAAAGGAGAGATCTCTTCAGAGTATGTTTTAAGTCACAGTGTGATGTGCTGTGTACTGTGGCAATCGGCACACATACATTTTAAGTCCCACTCGATCTGTTGATTATAATGCCCTGGAGAGAAAAAATGGATTAATATTTCAGCACTGTGCCTATTAATGGTTAGCAATTTCATTGGAACATGATATTCCCATCCTGATAGTAGATGAGCTAAAGTAGCAGGGTTGATTGTATTAGCTTGTCAAAAAAGATATAGACATAGTTAGTGAAGCTTTGATAGTAGATAAAATTAAGGAAGTACCATAAAGTAATAGATGTCTCTTTGTGCTTTTCCTGATTCTAAGATATTTGTCAGATCTGAGAAAAACCCATAAAAGACAGGTGAAAATATCTGTTACAACCAGACAGTGTTAGCAACAATAGAGCAGATTGCTGGGACATGAGGAAAGCAAATAAAGATTAAAAAATTTCAGATTACTAAGAGTGTTTTCCTAAAATATACAAAATATGTTTTTCCTCCAAGGCTCCTGTTTCGTTTTGTTATGGAAACCCAAATGAAACAAAACTAAGTTAATGCTAGCGACGTAGACAGCACTAGCTTTGAAGAAGTGCACATGACCGTCTCAAAGAAGAGTGGAAGTAGATTCTCAAGTTCTTTACCACAATGTTAAATATTGTTTTAAGACACGGAAAGAAGCATTTTCCCTTCCCCTTCTTTGTTGTTTGCTCAGAATTTTCAAAGTGTTCAGTGGGTATCTGAACCTTTAGAAAGTGGAATCAACCACTATATCAGTAGCATTGTCTGGAGTCAAGGGGCCAATGAAAGAGATCATATTTCTCCTTTGGTTTGAAAGGACTTTCTGAAGAGGTAGGTTTCTAACCTTCTATATCTGAGTTCCCTAGGTTGCACACACCTAAATATAACTCCCCACAACCTATGAGAAAGGCATCCCAAGCTTTCAATCTGAACTGCTTGGGTCAAAAATTAAAGAGAAAAAACAGGGTATAAGCAACAACAAAAGAGTTGTATTTAAAGTCCCTGTATAGCTGACCATATGGCTGGTGGAGATAGAGGATTTCTAATCATTTACTGTCCTGTCACCACAGGACGCTCATGCTGGGCCCTCTGAAGTTTCACAAATCACTGCAAACTAATAATCATGTGGAAGGTCACGTAAGAAAAGTTCAATAATGAAGCAACTGGGACAGTATCTTGACATTTGTGATAATAAATATTATCAATAACATCAGCTAGTGTTCAGAGAAACACCTGAATTTCACATGTCAAAACCGCTAGTGAGAAGTATTGGAAAACCTTTTAGACTGACATTTTCCTGGGAGAGGTGATCAGCTCCAGAAATCCTTGTGCCTCAGGCATAATTCAATTCCTTCTCTATCCTTCGTCTCCTTGATCACAGAAATTAGAGCTGGAGGAGACTCCCAGGTCACCAGACTGCTATATTTTTTCAAGCCTTTCCCAGTGCTCATTTAATGAGAGAAAGTCCATTCAATAACACTTGTACCATTTCTTTCAGGAGACCATTTCACATCTTTACAGGAGGGAAATAACCCCTCTGGTAGATTCTTCAGTGGCCCCTAACAGCAGTATCTGGTAAAGTGTTGCTGTACTGTGAGCTGGAAGCCAATTACATCTGCTTTGCAATTTCCAGTGGTGTAACTGAAGTGCACACAATGTGGAGTAACATAGAATCTGGCCCTTAGGATTTCACTTAAGAAAAGTGCTCTAGCAGTTGAATATCTCCACTCTTTTGCTTTTTCTTTTCACTTCTTCTATAGATCCTGTCCATTTGTGAAGCCTTAAAGTCCTTGCAGTAGCTGTAGTCATGTACCACATGAGCCATTGTGCAGAGGGAGAAGTCTCAAACCTGTTTTGACTAATACTTCCAAGCACTGGTTTCTTAAAGGACTTAGCAAACAAATACATAAAAGTGATAAATATACAGGAATGGAAAATCAAATAACAAAATCACTTTAGATCTACTAATAGCCATCTACAAGCCTGTAGTAGCAAACCTCCTGAGCTCAGATAAGGCCAAGATAAAGAACTCAAAACAGAGGGGGGGAAAAGCTGATGCTCAACATTGTAGCTCATGAGAATCAGCTTAATAAATGACCTCATGTTTGTGTTCTCCAGTCTCTGCTACATTGCCTATGTCCCTGAATCCATAAACAATTCAGTTTATGGACAAGGAAATCCTATTCAAATTTTCAAATTACTTCAGCTCTCCTAATTTCAAAGCTTACCTCTTTCTCGTGACTTTTGACACAAAAAGCTGAATCAAATATCAGATATGAGAAGATAGCCAAGCTATAGAGACTCAAGCACCTTAGTCTCTATAGTAAAATTCCATAGGTTTCCACTTGTCATTGAGTTGGAATGGCTTGATATATGTGTATATGTCACCTAATCCATATGTGGAACAAAAAAGCATTAGCTTAAAACATTGCAAAGGTCACAGTTGCTATTTTGTGTAAGTAGCACTGAGATAAGGGTTGATGAAATAAAGTATTTCTTTCTAGTACAAACCACCTCCATTATTTTAGCTAACACATTTTACTTCTCACTTGTAGCAGACAAGGAACATTTATGCAAATAGATAGCACAGCTCATCTGCCAGCTGGTAACTCCTTACATCTCACTGATTTTGTTGCTAGCAATAGTCCTTGTATATCCATGGTTTGGAAGAAGCAGAAGGCAGGCTTCCCAGAAAATAAATCCTATGAAATCTTTCCAAAAAGAGAGAATGGGCATGGAGCATTTCTTGTTCTCCTTTAATGTGGCACGTCTTTCCAGGCCAGTGCTCTCACATAAGGGAATTAATCACATGCCAAGCAAGAGGGGTCAGCCAGCACCAACGCGGCTTGATCACATGTAGCTTAATGCCATGAACACAAAAGTATGTCTGGTTTCTTTATTTATACATCAGTGAAGGTATGCTAGGTGCCAAATAAAGCCAAATACAGCTTCAGAGCCAAATAAAACCTGCTGGGTTTATAGACTGTCATTACTGGCTGAAGCTTTCTCATTTTACTTTGAAACACTGAAGCAAGACAGCTTTAGTGATGACTTTCATGCTACAGTACAAACTAAGATCTGTTATAGGCAGCAGTTGAAAAAATACACATTCTGCATTAAATAATTGTTATAAAAGCCTTGAGGCTTAAAAATATTTTTTGAGATGTTGCAAATAATTTGGCAGGATTTAAGTGCAATTTGATATGTCTGTTCTACTGGAGGTTTTTGCACGTAGCCTGGCCCCAGGTCTCTTTGCAGGTCTGCTCTTCAGTCAACGTTAGCCACAAAAGCAACAGTACCTGCATGCACAATATACAAACATCTGGGTCAACCTCAGGTCAAAGCTCAACTAAAGGAGGCAGCATGCAATAAATATAAATGGAGTATATTACTATGATAAATAAAAGTGGGCTACACTAATGCAAACAAGCTTGACTGATAGCGAGTACATTTCCAAGACACAGGGTCAAGCTTGGTGCATCAGTGAGGCTGAGGAGCTGAATGAGATGTATTGCTGCAAGCAACTTAGAGATAAAAATCCCCACATAGTCTATAATAGAGTCATCCTGTCAGTAGATGTTCTGTTCCTATTTTCAAATCTTTGCTGTCACTGTCAAAGAAAGTGCTATTTTTTTCCTGCTACAACTTTTTTTCCACAAGCACCTTAAATTGGTAGGTTTTGTTAGGTTTCATCATCAGGGCTTGCTCTTCTATTTCATTCTTTCTTCTCTGGAATACTTCCTGCCAGGCAAATGATCTTTAAAAAAAAAAACATTTCTTTAGCCATGGTATACAAGTATTTGATGTTTTTATTTAGAAGACACATACTTTGGAAAAATAAAGCCGGAGTAATTTCTGATGGAAGCTGGACATTTTGAAATTTTGTGTGCAGTTTGTATCCAGTGGTGGGCTGAGTTCTAATAAGAGCTAAGTCCATATAGCGTAACTCTGTGCCTACAGGGAGCAGTTCATTCATGAACATACCTGCTGGGTAGGTTTTCAGTGCGGGTCCCTGGAGTACTGTGAAAACAGAGCCACTGGGCAAAATGTGGACAAACTTTGTGCTTGAGCATTTGGGATATTGCTGAAGGACTCAACACTAAGCTGAGTATCCAGAATTGCGCTCTGGGCATTGTGGTGCAGAGAAACACAGTGGGCAAAACTTGGACCAGACTAGACAAAAGAAAACAAATAAATAAACAAACTCAATAACAACAGCAAAAGGGGGGGGGGAAAACCACAAGAGTGACAAGTCAAAAGATTATGGACAAAGTCCTAGAGAAAGGAGTGGGAGGCACAGTTTGTACCATATCTGATTTCTTTTCCTATCATTTAATGGAAGTCTGGAGAATGAGGTAAGTGGGATGAAATGGTAAGCAGCAACACACAAGTCTTTTGTATTTGGAGTGCAAATGACTTGTGACATAGGATGTTCTGTTAAATGATGTCCATGAAAAGCAAGCACATAGTGAATAATTTATCCACTCAGGTTTGCAAAAAGACTGTTGCAGAACTCATCTCTGGGCTGATACCATTGCTATTTAATGTAGTTTCTAGCAAGCCATTTATCATATTTATGGCTACATCTAATCCTTTTTACTGTGTTCTTTTTTCAAAAGTTCTCCTGGAGAAAGGCTGTTCCACAGCTTTATGAAGCTATGAACTGGAGAATAACACATGACCAAAAGCAAATGGAGGTGAATGATGACCACATTATACTGGGTATCCAGACCTGTCAAAGAATGCCAATGCATCAAGAACTATTGACCAACTTTGCCATGCCTACAGATTTTAGAATAAGTAATAAAATGTCACTGAAGGTGTATGGACAAAGTTCCCTTCATGTTATCCTGCATAAATATTCTCAGCAAATATATATACTTGTGTCACTTTTTGAAAAGAGTCTCATCCTCATCTGTGCATGAGTTCTTGGCTTTTCAACAACAGAAAAAGACCACTGCCTAACCCTTCTGAATAACCATTTCCTCAGAGACTGCTCTTTAAAAAATTATTCAGAGCTTGTGAAGAGTGTAGCTGGCTTTCAGAATACTAAATGTATTTCAATAATTTGGATTGTTGAATAAAATCCAAACACTGAGTAGCAGCTGCTGGACCACACACCACATGAAAGAAAGAAAGAAAAAATGTTTTTGTTGAGAGATTTCTCAGGAGTTTCATAGCATGCAAATCCTTCTGCTTCAGCTAAATCCCTGGAGTATGTAATCCTGATATAGTTAAACTGTCTTGGATGGTTTACTTCCCAAGAACCTTACTTTGCTGCATGCTTGGTGTGCAATTAGTTATGAGGAAAGCCCTGTCCCTTTGCAAAGCAGAAAACAGCTTGTGGTATCTCAGCTGGCACCTGATCTGCATTTCTTTTTTTAGAAGTAAAATTCATTGAAATATTACATAGATACTCTGAGGACATAACAAGAAGTTTGGATTGCTTCTATTAGATTACACTGAGTGTTCATTTCCCCCTGTATCTTGGAAAAGCAGGAATATAACAGTAAGGGAAGAGTCCAGTGATGCTTCCTCCGTTTCTTGAATTTCCTGAGCCTCAACAGCAGAGATGGGGCTGTGGTTAATTAATGGTCTCTTTCATTAATGTTTCCAATTGCTTTGAAAACCCATTGATATTTTGGCATCTGCTACATTTTGTGGCAATTAATTTTAGCCAAGAAATGAACCTCTTCAGTTCTCTTTAATGACTGCAAACTTAGAGAAAATTCAAACTTTTCTGGATTGGATCCTTAGGCTTCATGTGGTTTTGCTTTCCTCTTCCTCAAAATTTATATATTGACACTCACTCATCTGTCTCACTGGTATGAGTCATTCTACAGTAATTTTATTAACATTTGTTAGTGAGACCGGTTGATTCAATAGCATGTGTTACTCTGAACCGATGACATTTAGGTAAGGTGTTACTCATTTCTTGATTTTCTTTTAAATTAGAATTTGTTCATGACAGCTAAAGTTGTATGAGCTTTTAGTACATGTTACTACATGCAAAACATTTCCTCTTGCTGGCCAGTTTCTAAAAGCCATTGATGAATTCCACATATTAGTGGAGAGGGAGAAATTGTGAAAGATTATCGCTTTAAATTTTTACACAAACTGTATTTTTTAATTAGAAGTTAAGCTTGTGGAAATACTATGCTACCACCTATACTTTTCTGAGTTTCTGGTATCTTTGTTCAATATACTTTTAGTATTAGAAATGTGCCAGAACATTTTATACATTATACCTCTCATTTGAATTTTATAGTTGCATATGTCTAGTATGGCTTAGTCCAAGATCTTACTGGAATAAAGAATTTGCAGAATTCACAGAATTCACAGAATTCACAGAATTCACAGAATTCACAGAATCACTCGGTTGGAAGAGATCTTCAAGACCATAGAATCCAACCCAGCCCTAGCACCTCAACTAAACCATGGCACCAAGTCATATCTGATCATAACCCTCACTCCCTGTCTCCCTGCAAGGCTGGGGTATGAGATGGAAATGGGAAGAGGGGCAGGGCAGAAGAAAAGTGGTTTTGAGATCTTATTTTATTTTTCATTGTCCTGATTATCCTGATTCTGTTAATAATATATTCAATTAATGGCTCTATATTGAGTCTGTTTTGCTTCTGATGGTATTTGGTGAGTGGTCTCTGCCTGTCCTCCTCTCAACCCATGAACTCTGCTATATTTTCTCTCCCCTGTCCAACTGTGGAGAGGAGCAATAGAGAGGCTTTGGTGGGTGCCTGGCATGCAGCCAGGGTCATCCCAGCTGGTTTTTCTTTTCTAGTACAGCTGGAATGAGATCACAGCAGCTGATGGCATCTTCCCTTTCTCATGGGGACCTGGAGCTCAGCCTAAACTAGCTGTGGGAGATGGGGCTAAACTCCTTCTTGCTGTGTCTCATTTAGACCTACGACTCCCTGCCCCCAATTCTACAGAAATCCCCCATTCCAGTCTCCTTATGAAACTCCTCCATCTGCAAAAAAAAAGCCAAAACCAAACCAACCAGACAAAATCAAACCAAAAAAACCCCAAACCAAACAAAACTAAACCAACAAAACCAAAACAAACAAAACCCCACCAAATAAACAAACAAAACCCAAAAACAAACCAACCAACCCCAAAAAAAAAACCCCAAACCAAACTAAACAAACAAAAATCCAAAAAAAACAAAAACAAAACCACAAAAACCACAAACACCTTCAAAATATGAGAGCAAGGAAGAAGGATAAAAACCCCAAGTTTACTCAAGATGTACTATGTGCCAGTCCTGGGCTCTAGTTCTTGATCTGTACTGCCCATTCATTTTTCCTAGTGGCTCATCATAGCTTGCAATCAAGTTAGCACAATGCAGCTATCCTGCCTTCTGGCCCTGGAATTTTTGCAGTCTTCACCAAATTACATGATAGTTTAATCAACAGAGTTTGAATACGCCTTTTAGATATCCTATGTTGGCTTGTTGGGGTTTAAGTAACACCTAAGAAATTACTGAGAAATTACAGAATTGAGTCTTCCTATCTGGGAGACAGGGTACCTGCATCTCTTATCTTGATTGATAGAATGAATCCTGATAAGGTTTAAAGAGCAGCCCTCCACCCTACCACACAGAAGACCTTCAAAAAGAACAGACTGCTGACTTTTCATTTTTTGTTTTGCCTATCCTGGGAAGGGGAGCAGAGGGCACACAGCAAGCACTTTTACAATTTGTTCATTGCTTAGGATGGAGGATGATATATTCTGAGCAGTGCTTTGGGATAGGCACATGAAAAAACAAGGAGACTGTAGATTTAAAACTTTAGTCACAGTTATTGTGGTACCTCTAACAGTCTTTAAATCTGCCTTTTGTATTTTGTTCGTAATTTCATATTTTCTGTTACACCTGTTTTGGGGGTGGTCAAGCCAATCATTATGTTAGTCAACATTTTGTCAGTGGTGGCATTTTTGTTTGTTTCTGTGCCAATGAATGACACAAGATTCTGTAAAACATCTGCATTCATAGATGATTATTGGTGCCAAGGTGCACAGGTCTGTCTATTAGCGTGACTTTAATCCATTTAATGCACACTTCATTGATGTTGTGTGGGGACATTAATTGTGGCAGGCAGTAATAAGACAAATGCCTTACAAAAGCCTGCTTAACCAAACCAAAAAAATTAATTATTCCCATTGAGATTATTAGAAAATCATATCTTTTGTCATAATTAACTGAATCCTGTCTTGGTTTACTGCTATTTTGTCTAGGTCTGATTGCCTAAAGATTACCTGTGCTAGAGACACCTGTATAGTCTCACAACTCTTTTAAGATCAGTTTGCTGGAATCTTTAGTTATAAGTTACTCAGGCCTGCTGATTACAAGCAATGATCCCCCATACAAGCATTGGATTTTTTTAAATATCTTTTTCAACTCTTAACTGAGAACTTCATAATCTTCATGTGAAAGAAATTCCTCTAGTTTAATTTCAAAAACAGAACAGGGATTTATTTATTGTACACACCTTCATTTCCTTTTCCTGTCTCATTATTAATAGCATTATCATTTCTAGTTATGAGCTTGTATTATTGCTGGGATTTCATTTGTTCCTACTATACTTTTAAAAAGCTTCCCATTATATGTTTCCCAGAGACATGTTATTAGCCTCTCTTATCAATTATGTTCACTTCACAAAATATATTGGTTATTATCTGTTTATTTCTGTTCTCTTTTGTTCCATTCTGTTGGAATTCTCCCATTTGTGGTAGCTTCTTTCAATTCACCCCTGCAAAAAAAAGCATCTAGGGACAAAGTTTCTTCTCTCTTGACTGTGAATTCATTGATATCTTCCTATATAACAAACCTTCTTGAAATCTAAATTATTTTTCCTAGTTGTCTCTGTTGTCTTTTGACTCCTTCAAAAATACCAGACATGTATAGTCCAGATTGCCATACTCTTTGGCCACAATAAATGTAATCATCACAAATTTGGTCTCTATACAGGCACTTTCTTCCAGACCAGTGATTTATTTACCTTCACATCTGACAATAAAACTGAAAATAAATTCACTTTGCAATGTCTTCTGAATTAGAATATTTTAAATTTGGGGTTTTGGTAACTTTAGTGATCTTTTACAACTGATAGAAGGAAACCCTTAGAGTCCATGTCCCCATGCTACCACCTACCAGCCTTCCTCATGCTGCTTCATGCTACCACCTACCAGCCTTCCTCATGCTGCTTCAATTTAATGCTCCCTTGGCTGTGCCATGTAGTCCTTATATTAAAAAGAAAAAATCCCCTCGCAGGTGTAGGATTACACTTCTTACAATTATTATTAAAATTATTAGATTATTAGTGGAGAGTGAGGGCAAGACTGAAGAGCAGATGGAGGAACGAGCAATGCCACTGTAGCAGTAGGGCAGTGCCCTCTCCTCTGCCGTCCTTCCCACCCAGCCCTGCTCCTGTGGGAGCAGTGGGGTGCAGAGCTGCCTCTGAGGGGTGATGGGTAAGTAGACCCCATTGATCCCCCTGGGCTTGTGTGCACACAGAATGGTGATCTCTGTAAATACAAACCATTCCTAATGAGTAAATAATGCAGTTAGTCTAAAAACATTTAAAAATTGGGAGGTCTTACCTGTTGCAAGATCTGTGAACTCAATTATCTATGGTTGGTCTACCTTTGCCTGAGGTCACTGTGTGTAGCTTCACAAGAAAGCTTTAGAAGATTTTTTAATGAAGTTTCCTTTTAAACAAATGAGGCTTTATTTGTTGTATACAAGCAGGAAATAAATGCCATTCTGGCATATTTATTTGTTTTATGCCAGACCTTTGAGCAAAAACTATTAGTGATTTGGAACCAAATGTTCTTTGTCTTTGGCCTGAAGCAGGGGAACATGATGATCTTGAAGTCCAAAATTAC